AATCTTGATGCTACATTCTTCTTCATATAGTCCAGCTTCTCAGATTATTTGCTCAGCACATAGATTGAATAAGTATGGTGAAAGGATACAACCCTGACTCACTCTCTTCTTGATTTTAAACCATGCATGTCCCCTTATTCTGTTCGAATGACAGCCTTCTTTTCTATGTACATATCTCTCATGAACACGATAAAGTGTTCTGGAATTCCCATTCTTCTCAATGCTATCCACAGTTTGTTATGATCCACACAATCAAATGCCTTTGCATAGTCAAGAAAACACAGGTAAACATCTTTCTGGTATTCTTTGCCTTGAGCCAAGATCCATCAGCAATGATAATCCTCGTTCCACGTCCTCTTCTGAATCCAGCTTTCTCTTCTGGATCCAGCTTTCTCTTCTGGAAGTTCTCTGACAATATACTGCTGCAACCGTTTTTGAATTATCTTCAGTAAGATTTTACTTGCGTGCAATATTAATGATATTATTTGATAATTTCCACATTCTGGGGGATCAACTTTCTTTGGAATGGGTACAGATATGAATCTCTTCCAGTCAGTTGGCTAGGTAGCTGTCTTCCATATCTCTTGGCATAACCAAGTGAGTGCCTCCAGAGGGGCATCTGTTTGTTGCTACATCTCAGTGGGTATTCCATCAATTGCTGGAGCCTCATTCTTCACCAATTCCTTCAGTGGACCTTCAGCTTCTTCCTTCAGCACCATTGGTTCTTGATCATATGCCGCGCCTCCTGAAATAGATGAACATTGACCAGTTCTTTTTGGCACAGTGACTTTGTGTATTCCTTCCATCTTCTTTTGATGCTTCCTGCATCATTCAATATTTTGCCCATAGAGTCTTTCAATATTGCAACTCGAGGCTTAAATTTTTTCCTCAGTTCTTTCAGCTTGAGAAATGCTGAGCGTGTTCTTCCCTCTTGGTTTTCTAACTCCAGTTCTTTGCATATTTCATTACAGTAATTGGCTTCGCTGCTTGAGCTGCTCTTTGAATCTTCTGTTCAGCTCTTTTATCTTGTCATTTGTTCCATTTGTTTTAGGTACTTTTCACTCAAAAGCAAGTTTCAGAGTCTCTTCGAACATCCATTTTGGTCTTTTTTTTTTTTCTTGTCTTTTTAATGACCTCTGGCTTTCTTCATGGATGATGTTTTGATGTCATTCCACAATTCTTCTGGTTTTTAGTCATTGGAGTTCAATACATCAAATCTATTCTTTAGATGGTCTCTAAATTCAGGAGGAATATATTCAAGATCATATTTTGGCTCTCGTGGACTTGTTTTAATTGTCTTCAACTTCAGGTTGAAATTGCATATGTGCAGTTGATGGTCTGTTCCAAAGTTGCTCCTGGCCTTGTTTTTGCTGACGATATTGAGCTTCTCCATCACCTCTTGCTAGAGATGTAGTCAATCTGATTCCTCTGTACTCCATCTGGCGAAGTCCACATATATAGCTGCCGTTTGTGTTGTTGAGAAAAGGTATTTGGAATGAATAAGTCATCAGTCTTGTAAAATGCTATTATGCAATCTCCAGCACTATTTCTGTCACCAAGGCCAAATTTTCCAACTACTGGTGATTATGCCTTGTTTCCAACTTTTGCATTGCAGTTACCAGTGATAATTAACACATCTTGATTGCACGTTTGGTCAATTTCAAACTGCAGAAGTTGATAAAAATCTTCAATTTCCTCATCTTTGGCTTTGGTGCATAAATTTGAATAATAGTTATGTTAACTGGTCTTCCTTGTAGGCGTATGGATATCCTTAGCACTTGAAGTGCTATCACTGACAGCATTGTACTTCAGAACAGACCTTGAAACATCCTTTGTAATGATGAATGACATGCCATTCCTCTTCAAATTGTCATTCCCGGCATAGTAGATCATATGGTTACCTGATTCAGAATGGCCAAAACCAGTCCATGTCAGCTCACTGATGCCTAGGATATCGATCTTTATGTGTTCCATTTCATTTTTGACAACTTCCAATTCTCCTAGATTCATACTTCATATATTCCATGTTCCGATTACTAATGGATGTTTGCAGCTGTTTCTCCTAAATTTGAGTTGTGCCACATCAGCAAATGGAGGTCTCTAAAGCTTTACTTTATCCATATCATTAAGGTTGGTTCTACTCTGATGAACCAACATCTGATGATGCAGCTCTTTCCCAGTCATATTTTGAGAGCCTTCTGACCTAAGGGGCTTCTCCTTCTGCACTGTATCAGACAGTGTTTCTCTGCTATTCATAAGGTTTTCCCTGGCCAATTCTTTGAGAAGTGGGTGGCCTCTTCCTTCTTCCTAGTCTCTCTCAGTCTGTAAGCTGCATTGAAACCTGTGTACTATGAGCAACCCTGATGGCATTTGAAACACTGGTGGCACAGCCTCAAGCCTCACAGCAACACACAAGCTACCACAGTATGACAAACTGACAGACAATTTCATCTCCCTTAGCTGTTCAAAACCTCTCCACTCTCCCTTTACCTGGATCCCTGGCACTACTTGCTCTGTCACCCCCCAGCATTTCCTTTTTCTGCTTTCCTGCCTCTTGGGGTTGAGGCCTGGGTCCCTTCCCTTACTTGGGTCCCTATTGCTGCTCGTGCTTTTGTCCCCTCTGGCTCCCTGCTCCCCGACTTTCCTACCTCTTGGTGGTGGGGCCTGGGTCCTTTTCCTTACCTGGATCCCTGCTGCTGCTTGTGCTGTTACCCTTCTGGTTTTTCTTTCCCCTGCTTTCTTGCCTCTTGGGGGTGGTGCTTGGGTCCTTCCCCTTACCTGGAGTGTAAGGTGAGGTATTCCCCTGGATTTTGGTAGATCTATACTGCCTTACTTTTTCTGTATGCAGCTTTTGTAAGGACATAGCAGAAATCATGTTTCAATAATTTTGATGGAGGACATTTTACTGAGTAAAATAAGTCAATCACAGAAGGACAAATATTATATTAGTTCATTATTGTAAAAAGTCAAGGAAAGGTTTTGTTCTGGTTACCTAGTGCCATTCTGACAGGAATATACAACAAATAGGATGGCTGAAGTTTGGAGGCTTTCAGTCTGAGTTCAAAATGCCAGGCTCTAGGGGCTGGGTGAAAGCCCCTCAACCTTGGGCTACTGCATGCTGAGGCTAACAAGCCCAGGGTTGACAAGTAAAATGGCACATTCCTGATTTTTCAAACCACACGATAGGCCATTGATTCAAGTTCATTGAAAGTCCCAGGATCAGCAGAGCATGGCAGGCTGCTGAACGATGACTCGGCTACATGCAGGGTTTAGGTGTGCCATAAGCTAGAGACCATTCCCAAAGCTGTTTATTATATACAGGAAGCAGACCACATACCCCAAGGCAGCTACTCAGCTGCCTCTGCTAGATCCTACCACGGAGTTGATTGCCAGTCTCACCATGTGGAGTAACTACCACCAGCTGCCCAGCCACTCAACCAGGCCCAGCCAAGTTGGTACATAAACTTAACCACCACAGGTTTATATACGGAAGGAAATTTTCTTTGTTAGTTACCAACGGTAGAAGGGGAGGGGAAGGAATACTGCTAGATAGGTGGAGACAAATATTGATTTGGGTGAAGGGAAGGGTAGTATACCAAATGTGAGTGATCAACACGATGGCATAGCGGAAAAGGAAAGACATAGAGGAAAGACATGTCTATACCTGGGAGATGAAATTAACCCTTTTGTGTGAACAGTATTACTTTGTCAGTGATGGCAAGCATTGATCTATGGGTGGATAGATGGGTGGACAGGCTGAACAGTCAGGTATGTCTAGGTAGGAGGGAGTATGCCCATGACCATGTATAGGGTTGGCGGACAATGTTTCTACATGTGTATTTGTATGTGCTGTAAGAATGTCCAGATGTATAGTAGTGCTCACAAGGGGCAAGATTGTGGTGGCTTCTTGGCCACAGCCAGCTACCCTGAGGGAGTGAATAGTTGGACCTGTGGGCTTGGGACCATGGTTGCTGGGGATATCTAGCTCAATTGGCATAAAATACTACACAAAAACATTGTTCTACAGCCTACTTTCATGAGTAGCGACTGGGATCTTAAAAGCTTGCAAGTGGCCATCTAGATGCAGTGATGAGTCTCCTGTTGCCCAAAGCAAAGAAGAATGAAGAAAACCAAAGATTAATAGAAACAATTAGTCCAAGGGACAGGTATACCATGTTAATTCTCAGCCTATATGACCATGAGACAAGAAGAACTAGATGGTTCCCAGCTACCAATGTCAACCACTCAGAGAGGGATTGGTGCAGGAGATATGGATAGAGTGAGAGAACAATGTGGAACAAAACTCAAAAGCATAAAAAAAAGACCAGGCTTGCTGGTCTGATGCAGTCTGGTGAGACCCCTGAGACTATATGGTGCCTAGCTGCCCTTCAGGTCTGGAATTGAACTTACTCCTGTGGCTTCCAGCCAAAAAATAGACAGGCATATGGGGTGAACATTTACATCAGGTCGATATACTTCTTGGAGTGATCAATCATGGGAGAAGGGCAGTGTTTGCATAGGAAGACAGCTCCAGGGGTGGGGGGCATGGGAGGGAAGGACCAGGAAAGGGGTACCTATGGGGAGAAAATAGGAAGATAGCTGTTACATTATGGAGAATTGCAGTCAATGTCAGGAGATAAAATGTATATGTACTGCTGTATGGAAAATGAATTTGCTTTGTAAACTTTCACCCAAATCACAGTAAGAATTAAAACAAAAATCATGTTTCCAAAGAAAAAGAAAAAAACAAGAACATAATGAATTTTAAACCTACTATCTGGTAGTTTATCATTCTAGATTGTTTTTGTATGAAGAGAGACTAATAGACTGATTTGAAACTGGAAGAAAGGCAATACTAAATGCCCCCTGTGAATTGGGAACATTCAGGCGGCCAGTCATGGGTGCTTTAGCACCCACAGAGCAGATTTGGTTCCCTAGATTTACGGATCTTGGAGGGAAAAAATGTGGTGACTACCCTTATCCTTTGTGTCTTTTCTCAGAAAAATTGAGTAGTGAGCATGCTACTGAGATGGAAACCATGATGTCTTTGGTTTACAGACTGTTTACAGCCATACATTTTGACAAGTACCAGAAAAAGAAAGAGAACCATTTACTGGAGAAAATTGACCACCTGAAGAAACAGCTGCAGCCCCTCGAAAAGGTTAGGAATCATCACCGTTGAGTGTATGGAGCTGCTGGGTTGGTTTGAACTGCCAACTTTTAGGTTAGCAAATGATCACCAACCGCTTGTGCTACCCAAAGCCCATTGCCATTCAGTTGATTTCAGCTCTAGCAACTCTGTAGGGCAGAACAGAACTGCCCTATAGGGTGTCCAAGGTTGTAAATCTTTAAGAAGCAGACTGTGACATCTTTCTCCTGAGTAGCAGCTGGTTGTTTGCACTGCCGAGCTTTTGGTTAGCGGCCAAATGCTTTAACCACTGCACCACCAGAGCTCCTCTGTACCATCTAGGCTCTGTATAAAAAATAATACCTCATGTTTATTGAAGGAACGCTGCTGGTGCATTGCCTAAGGCATTTGACTGCTAACCAGAGGATTGGTGGTTCAAAACCACCAGCTGCTCTGTGGAAGGAAGATGGGGCAACCTTCTTCCACAAAGATTTCCTTCCTTGAGTGCTCCTCTTGTAAGCATTTTTCTGAGTGCTTTACATATGCTCATTTTCTACATTAATCCTGCCAATAAGCCTGTGAGTTTCGTAGTATTCTCTTCCTCATTCTTCAGATGACAAAACCAAGATAGCAGAGGCACATAGCAAATATAGAACCACTTACATGAACTGACCTCAAAGTTCCTATCTTAAACTCTGTACTACACTTTCTCTCCATGGATCAGACATAATGTCTCTGCAGGTGAGTATTAAGAGTAGATAAATGGCAATTTGTGAATATTTTACTTTCAACCTGAAAAATTTACGAGCTGGAGTACTACCTCAATTTCTCTTTGTTGAGAGCAAGCCCAGTAACCCAGCTCCATCCACTTAACAGGATTGCAGCTGAAAATTTAGTAATGGCTTCTTAACATCAGTGAAGTTAATCAGTGATAGAGAAAAAGTAACTTTGATTTTGTGTTTCCAATCTGTTTAATTTATGGGGAAAAAACTTAATTCTTTAAACCTTGTGATCCCACTTGTGATTTTAAAAAATAGGTGGGGATATATGTAGCTCTGTATATGAATACAGCTTGTGGGGATGTAAGAAATTTGTAATAGGGATTACTTTTAAAGGTATTAGAGTGGCAAAGAAAGACTTTTCTATTTTATTTTTTGGATTGTTTTCTAACATTTTTTTTTTACTGAAACACAGTTCTTTAATATATGCACATGGATTGGAGTCCGTAGGTTGTGCAAACAGTTAGGCACTTGACTATTAACTGAAAGACTGATGGTTTGAACCCAGCCCGAGGTGCCTGGGAAGGCAGGCCAGGTGATCTCCTTCCAACTGTCAGCCTCGAGAACCCTGTAGAGCATTTCTATTCTGCACACACGGGGTCGCCATGAGTGGGAATCAACTCAACAGCAACTAAACTTTAAAATTTTTAAATTAAAAAATTTAAAATAGTGCCCAATGGAAAGTCTTCCTTCTCCCCTGTCCTCCCAGTTCTCATGTCTTCCATACCTGATAACCACTGGTGTTTTTTTTTTAATTAATCATTTCATATTTTCTTTATATATACAATACCAATGTATTTTTCAGAAAAGAGACCACACTATATACATTATTCTCATTTTTTTTCACTAAGTATATCCTAGAAATCTCTCCATATTGGTACATAAAAAACCTCCTCATAACAGTTGTGTATCTTCACGGACAGAGGATTTTTTGGTCTTTGCTATGAAGAATGATCTGTAACAAATCACGTATGTGCTGGTATACTTGTAGGATACTTGTAGGGCTCCTAGGATAAAGTCCCACAAATGGACTTACAAGAAAAGAGACTAATTTTAGCTAAAGTAATGTAGATATGCACTTGTTCTTCCTTTTTTTTCTTGCTTTTTAAAATTAAGTTGGAGCACTGTAAACTGAATGGATGATTATTTGCTTTTTTCCCTCAGCTAAAAGCTGGAATTGAAGGTCGCTCTGAAGCCAGAATTAGCAGACTTCTATGGACTGGATTAGCGCTGCTGTCCATTCAGGGTGGGGCACTGGCTTGGTTCACTTGGTGGGTGTACTCCTGGGACATCATGGAACCAGTTACATACTTCATCACATTTGCAAATTCCATGGTCTTTTTTGCATACTTTCTAGTCACTCGACAGGTGAGTAGTTTGTTAGGAAAATATTAAGTGAGAACATCTTTGCAAAGAATTACTTAGTCAAGTCATGAGTAGTAAAGCCTTTAATGAATTTCTGCTATCTAGGTATTTATAGGAGCCTTGGTGGTGCAGTGGTTAAGTGCTCAGCTGTTAACTGAAAGGTTGGTGGTTTGAACGCACCAGATGTTCTGCAAGAGAAAGATGGGGCAATCTTCTGTGAAGATTGCAGCCTTGGAAACCATAGGGGTGGTTCCACTCTGGAATGAGTTTCAGGTTTTTTTTTTTTTTTTGCGGGGGTGTTTATAAGCTGATCAGTTTTTACTTTTTTTTTTTTTTTTTGAGGCTGGTTGGAGACTTATATACAGTACAGAGCAACTATACATAGCTTCCACAGAGAAATAATTAGTACAACTCACCAATTCATCCATTGGGATAAACGTGTCAAATTCATGTTCTTTGTGCCCTCATTTATAAATTAAATTTATAATGCAATAACTTCAACTGTGCCTCATGGTTATTTTGCAAAAATTTCCCTTTTCCTTTCTTTTTCCTTCATGTGTGTGACTTTTCTTGCCATCTTCTCTGCTTTTGAAAACAGCACTGAAGTAGCTGTCAGTGAGTTGATTCTGACTCATAGTGACCCTGTAAGACAAAGTAAAACTGCCCCATATAGTTTGTAAGGCTATAAATTTTTATAGAAGCAAACTGCCTCATCTTTCTCCCATGGAGCAGCTGGTGAGTTCTGCCAGCCTTTAGATTAGCAGCTAAATGTATTAACCACTATGCCACCAGAGCTCCTGATTTCAAATGAGACTACATGTTTTACTTGGATTGACTTGTGTTTGCTTTGATGGCCACTGAAAATATTTTACTCATCTGCTTTGCTTGGCTTTGGTGTTGCTGAGTCAAGTATCTTGTGGCACAGGCATGTTCATTTTCTTTTTCCTTTTTCTTAAAGGATTATACTTACTCAGCTGTTAGTGGTAGGCAATTTCTTCACTTCTTCTATAAGAAATCAAAGCAGGAGCATTTTGATGTGGAACAATACAACAAATTAAAAGATGACCTTGAGAAGGTAGGTATCTTACTGCAAACATAACATCTTATAGGTGGTCTTGTTGGGACCAGAATGTAGTGTCAGGGAAATGTAATTGGTGGCTCATACTCATGGGTTAAATCTGAGTCCTAGATAGATTTCTGTGTATTGTGTGTTCAGTGAAATAGTTGACATATCTGATACTAATTTTAGATCTTACTTTTTTTCTTGTCCTAAGTATTCTACATGGAGCTAGCTTTAAACATGTATGAAAATTCTCATAGAACTTTGAGATAGTAAAAGGCAAGTTCTCAACATAAATCTTTTTCTCAGTGAGTATAGCTGTGAAGGAAAAACCCACTCTCAAGGGCAATTACAGATTTCTAGCTATTAAACAAATAATAAAAAGCAGAATTTTAGGAAGGCGAATGCTGTTATAAATAATTTTAAACTCTTTACAGGCATTTTCAAGTTTCTTCTTAAAAACAGAAGAAATCAGTAGGGTAGTCCTCCCTTTATCTTTTCTCCATCTTTCAGATGAACAAACAGAGGTTTTAAAGTCACTTGTCCTGGTCATAATTCCACACTGCTAGACAGTGGGTAACTGAGAGTATGAAGCAACAGTTTGACTCAGGAACTTAATGTTTTTCGGAACACCACTATCTGGTTCTTAGGCAGTTTTTCTCTCTGGCCTCCCAATTTACACATTAACTTTTTCAGATGGTGACTTCTCAGTAATCAGATTAAAAATTTTGCTTAGTAATTTTATAACAAAAAGCTTTGGTAAAAAGTTATCTTCTGTTGCTCAAATCATCCTCATTTAATAGTCAGTAGTTATATTTCTTGTCCTTTCTAAACTACCAGTTATCTGAAATTAGAAAAAAAGGAAAGATGTTATTACTAGAACTAAATATGAAATGAAAAAATAAGAGATAGGGACCTTTTTTTTAAAAAAAAAAAATATCTTATTTCATCTAACCATTATATTGTTGTTAGGTGCCACAGAGTTGATTCCAACTCACAGCTCCCCCACATGACAGAGTATAGAAGTGCGCCATATGGTTTCCTAGGCTGTACTTTCTGGGAACGGATCAACATGTCTTTTTCTTGCTGAGAACTGGGCAGGTTTGAGCATTTCACCTTCTGGTTAGCAGCCAAGTGCTCACCCACTGCACCACCAGGGCTCCTTATCATTGTGTAGGGAAATAGTAATGATTTCCTGTTTTAGTTGTTTTTCTGTTTTTTAATTTAGTGAATACTCTTTACATTTGAATAATCCAGTTGAAGAAGGCTAAAGAATGTTGTCTCAGCAAGTTTATAGGACTAGGCACTTTAGAGTTAAAATGATCCCTTGTACTTTTTAAAAAAATGTTAATAAAAATGAAAAAAAAACTGACTGCCATCAAGTCAATTCTGACTCATAGTAACCTCCACTGTAATAAAGCTGAGAGAAAAAGGGAGACACGTGGTCTTTTTGACAGGTCACAGAGTTGTGGGTTTTTGTTTTCTTTTTTTAAATATGAGTTGGAAAAACCATTAAGGGGATAAACTAACATTAAAAAAAAAGCATAAGGATTAATTAGAAACCTTAAACTTGCCTTTTAACAAATAATCCATATGAAAGTGAAATATTTTAGGCATTTGCCAGTAGTAGTGTAAATATTTTTATTGCTATAAGGAGATATTAAGTTTATAGCATTCCAATCATGTGCTTTTCTCTTTCCCATTAACAGGCTAAAGCAGCCTTGAAACATTTGCGCCATAGTCTCTATTTTCGATTGCCAGTGGAGGAAGAACTCAATGATAAGAATTAACCATACATTTTTAAATGTCATTAAACTTTTCTATTTTGTGTTGATTTTGCAACTTAGAAACTGAAAGTTCTTGAGTCCCATAGTTCATTTCACTTTGAATGTTACAGTATTTTTTAATTAATAAAAATTCTTGTAAAACAAAAGTATTCTTTGAAGTTCTCACTGGAAATTTTTGATTTGTCAATTTTCATGACCTGCTGAGGCTGAAAGTTAGAAAGTGCTTGAGTGTATCCATCATAATCAAAGTGGCTGCTGCTGCTGTTTGGCTCTTCAGCCAAGAATCCTCATTAGCCTGTCCTGGGTTTGTTCCCACTTGCCCATGAAAATGGTCACACTGTGCATGGTGTTCACTTTCATTCTTAGGCCTCATTTAAAATCATACAAAATTCACTCGTGTCCCTATTGCTTCCACAACTCAGATTTAACGGTGTTTTGGTGCACAAATACTTGAGCACCAGTGTTACTGCATTTGTGAGTAACACAATTATATGAGAACATGTAATTCAAGTAAGTCCTTCTATAGATTAAATTCAAGGAAAAAGTGAGGCTTTTTTTTTTTTTTTCGCATTTTGAAAGAGCTTTTCAGTAACAGTGCCTAGTTTCTCTTGTTGTCATCAAGTCAGTTCCAACTCATAGCAACACTATGTACAACAGAACACAACGCTGCCCAGTCCTGGACTATCCTCAAAATCATTATGTTTGAGCCTATTGTTGCAGGCTCTGTGTCAATCCCATCTCATTGAGGGTCTTCCCAATAATAACCATTTTCACTGACCAAGCATGATGTCCTTCTCTAGGGACTGGTACCTCCTGATAACATGTCCAAAGTACGTGAGACGAAATCTAACAACCATCCTCACTTCCAAGGAGCATTCTGGCTGTAGGCCTCCTTCCAAGACAGATTTGTTCATTCTTTTTGGTATATTTAATATTCTTTGCCAAGACCCTAATTCACATGTATATGAGGCGACTGAAAATATTATGGGTCGGGTCAGACTTGCCTTAGTCTTCAAAGTGACATCTTAGCTTTTTAACACTTAAGAGAAGTCTTTTGCAGCAGACTTCCCCAATGCAATGCATTGCCTAATTTCTTGACTGCTGGTTGCTTCCATGGGCGTTGATTATGGATCCAAGTAAAATTGTGATCATGGATCCTTGACAACTTCAATATTTTTTCCATTTATCAGGATGTTGATTATTGGTACAGTTGTGAGGATTTTTGTTTTACATTGAGGTATAATCCATACTGAAGGCTGTATAGTTACATAGACGCACATTTATCTTATATTGGCTAAGAATTAACTGTGTTTTATATTTCACCCCCAGAATGCCATACAATAAATAGGTCTTGAATTGAAGGATTATGTGTGTGACCACGTAACACAAATCTACTACAAATTATACACAGGTAAGAATGTAAATTAGAAAAATTTAATAAAACATGAATTCCACATTTTTTATTAAGTAGAAACAATGATCTAGTTCTTGATTTTCAAAAACATTTAAAAACATTACAATATAAAGTTGTTTTATATAAAAAAAAAAGCTACAAAAGTTAAAATGAGATATTATGGGTAATCTTCCAGTTTACTAAGGTCAACTATTACCAATGCATATGGATTTTTACTTGTACTAATTCCCTGAGGATTGTGTTTCTACATATATAAAACCCTTTCTTAATGTCCAATATGATTAAAAAAAAAAAAAAAAGGCAGTTCTCTGCTAAACTTTAAATCTTAAAACATTTTAAATTGCTGGCCCACAAGCTTCAACTTAGTGATGATAGCTATTTCTATAAAAAGAAGGGAAATATGTTTGAACATAGATGCAAGAGAGAAAATAGCTCCTATCATTTAGATTTTGGAAAGAAATGCAGCTTTTTAGTAAGCATTGAGGCAAAGCAGGGAACCTGCTTCTTTCCAATTGCACTTGGATCTTTACAGTAGTCCACCCGGCGCTGAGAAACTTTCCTGTTGACCAGCGTGAGGAGTTCTGTGAACTCTAAGGTGGAACCGTACTTTCCCAGCATCTCACACAAATCTTGAATGTACCATGAGCCGTTCACAGTTTCCCGGTGAGAATAATAACCTAAAAAAGACAGGAAATAGAAAAAGGCCATTGAACTTTACTGGCTTTCAGTTATGGGGACTGAAAACCACCTTTGTAATTCACAGTTACATGAGATCTCAAAATGCCTGGAGAAGACTTAAAATGTGTCCATGATAGGTTTTTTAAATTTTTCTGTCATCTGTTCTTAAGTGGGAAAAGTTTAATTCTACATAAGTGAGGTTAATTCTATATAATTTCTTCCATTTCCCAAAAGTACCCCAAATGGTAGCCAGGAGATAATTTTGAGAGGCAAGAGATTACTGGAAGTAAAATATAAAAGTATTTAAGATCAAAGGAAATGGTCACCTAAATATTTTTAACAAAGCTTTTGATGAGTATTACCACCAGGACACTACTGCCATCAGTGATTGACTGCAGGCTGCCGATATTTAATATAATTTGACATGTTTTTTTTTTTTAATTAGGATTTGGGTGAAGATTTACAGAGTAAATTCACTTTTCATACAGCAGTTCACATATACTTTGTCTCATGTCATTGACCAAAATTTACAATGCAGCAGCTCCCCTCCCACTTCCTCCCCATAGTTACCTCCTCCCAGTGTCCATCCCTTCATACTCTTCTGCACCCTGAGCTATCTCTCTGTGCATAAGCAGCCCTTCCTTCTCCCATGATTGTTCTCTCCAGGGCGTGTGTCTACTTGAGGTAAATGTTTAACTCACATGCCTGTACTTTGTTTGGCTGGAAACCACAGTTGTGGGTTCAATTCCAGACCTGAAGGGCAGCTAGGGGCCATAGTCTCAGTGGTTACACCAGGCTCCATTGGACCAGCAAACCTGGTCCCCACCTTCTTTTTTTTTTTGCCTCCAAATGATTTTGAGTTTTGTACCACATTGTTCTCCCTCTTTATGCAGGATCTCCTACATCCCTTCCAAGTGGATGGCAGTGGTAGCTGGGCACCATCTAGTTCTTCTGGTCTCATAGTTGTATAGGTTGCAGATCAGATGGTGTACCAGTCGCTAGGACTGATTGTTTCCATTAATTTTGGTTTTCTTCTTTCTTCTTGACGAGGAGAGACCTGTTGTTGCATCTAGATGGCAGCTTCCTAGCTTTTAAGGTCCCAGTCGCTACTCGCCAAAGTAGTAGGTGGAACAATGTTTTGTATAGTATGTTATAATTTGACATGTTGTTTTATTTAACATAGTTCTCAGGAATGATTTTTCTATAAGGCATTTTATTTCATTTTTTTATCTCTTGTCTTCATCACGATTACATGGTGCCTACTCAGATAATCCAGGATAATCTCCCCACCTCAAAATCCTTAATTTAATCACATGTGCAAGGTCTCTTTCACCATATAAGGTAACATATTAACACGTTCTGGGGAGTCAGATGTGGATATTTTTTGCGAGGCCATTACTCAGCCTACTCCAAATACACAGAGAAGGAGTTTATGTCTTTGAAAGTTCATATGCAATATATTAGAAAAACCCATTTGCCACAGTTAAAACATTTAAACTGACATTTCAAATCATATTCCCCAAAAACACCTATAGCTATATATGTAATGAAATATTTACATATATCTGCCAGTTTCCTATTTCCATGTCTTTACTCATGTTCCTTTCTTCTGGGATGATCCTTTTCCCCTAACCTTATTCCTAATTATTGCATAGACAAATACTATGCATCCTTAAAGTCCTGGTTGAGGAATTTTGCTGGTTCACCTTCCCTAAACAAATATCTTTATTCTTCAAACCCTCTATGCGGCATTTTACACTTTCATTTATCACCCTGCCTTGGGTCAAAAAAATCCATTCTAAGCCTGGGAGCTTTAGGACTGTATCGCCATGTCCCAATTGAGACCAGAAGAACTAGACAGTGCCCTGGCTACCACTGTCAACCACTCAGAGGGGTTCTATGTAGGAGATCCTGGATAGAGAGGGAGAACAATGTGGAACAAAACTCCAAATCATTTGGGGAAAAAAAAGGGGGGGACCAGGTTTGCTGGCCTGACCCAAATGAAAGCAAGGTGAAACTTAAAAGACAGCCCACTCTACACAAACGTACCTTCTGCAACAGAGTAACACATGAGGAAGTCCGCACCTGCAGGCAGTGTGTAAATGGAGGCTGCATCTACTTCTGTTACATTGGCTTCCAGTTTATCTGTCTGATTATCCACAGCATCCATAGGAATGACTGGCACATCATGCTGGCTTCCCCGACAAGCCTACAAGACAAAAAGGGAAAAAAAACCACCTCTTTCACCTACTGTTTTCTTCTCAATGCTTAATGTTTACCCTGAATAAATTCACTAAGCCTTCAATATCAACACCAACAGAAAGCACTTCAAACACAATACATTCAAGTTTGTTGTGCTATTGTTAGTTGCTGTTGTCATCTTCGAGTCATCATGGTAACTCCACGTACAAGAGAATAAAATATTGCCTGGCCCTGCACCATCTTCATGATCATCAGTATGACTGAATACATGTGACTATTGTGTGTTGTTTTTTTCTTTTAATTGCGATTTGGGTGAAAATTTACAGAGCAAATTCACTTTCCATTCAGCAGTTCACATACACTTTGTCTCGTGACATTGACTACAATTTACCACAGTGCAACAGCTCCCCTCTCACTTCCTTCTGACAGTCACCTCCCTGTATCCATCCCTCCATGCACTCCTTCCCCCTGAGCTGTCTCCCTGTGCATAAACAGCCCTTCTTTGTACCATGATTGTTTTCTCCAAGGACTGTATCTAGCTCAGGTAAAAATGCTCAACTCATATGCCTGTCTTTTGTTTGGCTGGAAGCCACAGGTATGGGTTCAATTCCAGACCTGAAGGGCAGCTAGGGAACATAGTCTGTGGTTCCACCAAGCTCTATCAGGCCAGCAAACCTGGTCCCCCCCTTTTTTTCCCCAAATGATTTTGAGTTTTGTTCCACATTGTTCTCCCTCTCTATCCAGGAGCTCCTACATAGAACCCCTCTGAGTGGTTGACAGTGGTAGCCAGGGCACTGTCTAGTTCTTCTGGTCCCATAGTTGTATAGGCTGTGGATCGCATGGTATACCACTCCCCAGAACTAATTGTTTACATGAATCTTTAGTTTTCTTCATTCTTCTTTGCTCTGGACGAGGAGAGACCCATCGTTGCATCTGACTACTGTGTGTTTTAAATGCCTTCCAACCCAGGGGGCTCATCTTCCAACACTATACTGAACAGTATTCTGTTGTGATCCATAAGGTTTTCATTAGCTAGTTTTTGGAAGTAGATTGCCAGGCCTCTCTTCCTAGTCTTAGCCTAGAAGTTCCTGAAACCTGTCTACCACACATAACTCAGCTGGTATTTGAAATGCCAGGGGCATAGCTTCCAACATCATAGCAACATGCAAGCTACTATACTGTGACAAACTGACAAGATGAGTGATGGACATTCAAGTCTGCAGGAGAATAAAGATGACAAAAGGGCAGTGGTGGTTCAGTAGTAGAATACTTACCTTACACAGAGGAAACTGGGGTTGGATCCCAGGCAATGTACCTTGTGCACAGCCACCACTTACCTGTCAGTGTGAGCTTTTATGTTGCTCTAATGTCAAACATTACAGAGTAAGGGAGACCGGGAAGAAAGCCCTGGCAAGCTACGTCTGAAAAGCAATCAGTGAAAACCCAATGAATCAGAACTCTATGACCCTCAACCAACAATCATGGGGATGGTGCAGGACTGGCCAACGTTTTATTCAGTTTTGCATGGGGTGGTCATGAGTCCGGGGCTGACTCGGAAGGTAACAACAAAAGTTAACAAAGTTGCTTACCTACTTGTGTTTTTTATTTATTTATTTATTTATAAAAACATCCCAACTACATGCTGATGTTGGCTGAAAGGTATAATGGAGAAGACAAAGCCTCAGTGTTTTTAAATTTTGTTACGGATTAACCATACCCATAGCATGAAGAGTTGTCCTTGCTTGGTTTTTAAATGACTATTGTGATTTTGGTGAATGTTTACATAGGAAATTTGTTTTCCATTTGTGATAGTTGGAGCTTTGTGTCAATTGGCTGGACCCCAGTTCTGTGTGGTTGTTCCCATGATGGGATCAGATGAGTGTGTTCTCAGTGGCCAATCTGTTCAAGGGAAGTTTCCTTAGGAGTGTGGCCTGCTTACAGTATATCCAAGGACATCCTGGGAAGAGAGACATTCTTCTATGGATTGGGATTCTGTTGTGCGGCCTACGACTGTCTGTGAGTGAGCAGTCCACCATTTGGCCTGGAGATCTTGGATTCGTCATTCATTGGAGTCAACAGCCAGGGTACTGCCTGCCAGCCTTGAGCTTCTCGGCTCCTGTGGTTGCGGGAGCTAGGAAAAGCCTCCAGCCTGATGTTTGCTCCAGGGACTTTGGACTTGCCGGCTTCTATACGTTTGTGAGCCATTTTCCTAAGATAAATTTCTCTCTCTCTTTATATACATATAAGCTTTGCTGGTTTTTGTTTCTCTAGGGAATCCAGCCTGACACACCAACAGTTGTGTGACATTGACTGCAATCCCCACAGTGTAACAGCACTCCCCCTACTTCCACCCTGGGTTTACTGCTTCCATTCATCCTTCTTTCTGTCCTACCCTGACATTTGAGTTTTATCCCTGGGCAAATGCTGCCATTTTGATCTCATATGGTTGATTGCTGTAATGAGTACATACCGTGCTGGGGTTAACGGTTCACCTTATAGGGCCTGTCTGTTGCTTAGCTCAAAGTTGAGCCACAGGGCTGAGTTCTGTTTCAAACTTGAAGGGTCACTAAAGGCCATAGTCTTGGGGGTTCCACCAGTCTCTAGCAGACCAGTGAGCCTGACTTTTTTGTCATTTATTTTGGGTTTTGTTCCACGTTTTTCTCCTAGTCTATCCAGGACTTCCTACTGTCACCCCTTTCAGAGCAGTCACCAGTGGTATCAGGTACAGCTAGTTCTTCTGGTCCCAGGGTTGTGGATGCTGGGGTTTGTGTGGTCTATTAGTTTTCTGTAGTAATTGTTTCATTGGGTTTGATTTTCTTCACTCTTCTTTGCTCTTAGATGGGCACCCTCTCTTTTGAAAGCTTCACTATCTACCTGAGTCTATTTAATCAGATTATATTTCAGATTGAGTTTTATTTGCTTGACTGCTGCCGTAAATTGTTAATGGTCAAATGACACTGTCTGACCTGAATAAACATCTATGAATATGCCTTTCTCCTTTTGCTATATAAGAGATCCCTAATATCCCATTTTAACTGGGGAGTTTTTAATCTTATTTAGTATTATCAGGCTTATTTTCTAAATCCCCTGTAACTTGATGAAATCACCTGACAAATTAATTGCAATTGAAGGCATACCATATGCCAGGCGCTGTTCTTAAGTGTTTTTCATTCTTTGTATCAGATCCTGACAACCACCCCCTGAGGTAGATACTATTGTTATCCCCATTTCACAGATGAAGAATCTGAGGCATAGAGAAAAAGTAAACTTACAAAACATTTCCCTCCTGGGTGAAGAGAAAGGCAATACACAACAAGGGGAGGTCAGCACAACATGATCAAAGCAAAGGAAGACAGTAGGAGGCAACAAATAGAAGGCAACAACAGTAAATGTTAGTACGTACACAATCCTGCTATAACAGTGTTAACAATAATTTACAAGTGGATACATAGATAGATATGTAAGCTGACAGGTGGGCGATAGTATATGGGAGTACACCCACAAGCATATACAGATTTGGCAGAGGATATCTCTACCTATACATTTGTATGTACTGCAGATATATCCAGGTAGATAATAAAGCTTATAAGGGGCAGTTTTGCAAACTTCTTAGCCATAAACACCTTAAAGAGTCACTGGGCTCAAGGGCTTAGGACCATAGTCTCAGGGGACATCTAGGTCAATTGGGATAACAGTCATAAAGACAGTGTTCTATATCCTGCATTGGTGAATAGTGACTGAGGTCTCAAAACTTGTGAGTGGCCATCTAAGATACAACTACTGGTCCCTTCTTATTGGGAACAAAGAAAAGTAGAGAAAATCAAAGACTCCAGGAAGCAATTAGTCCAAAGATGGTGCCCAGCCACATTCCGACCTCTCCGATCAGTATCACAATAGGAGGTCCTGGACAGAATGGGTAAAAAAGTTCAAAATAAAAAAAAGACTAGATTTACTGGTTTGGTAAGAGACTAGTGGAAACCCCGAGATTACAGCGCTTATCTTCAAACCTGGAAATGAACCCACCCTCGAGGATCACCTTTCAGCCAAACAACAGACAGGCCTATAAATGAACTATAACACCTGTGAGGAACATGCTTCTCAGAACAATCAGTGATACATTTCTTCACAGATGAAGAATGTGAGGCACAGAAGAAAAAATAAACTTACAAAACATTTCCCTACTGGGTGAAGGAAAGGCACTACTTAACAAGGGGAGGTCAGCACAGCATGATCAAGGCAAAGGAAGACACTGGGAGGTAACAGTAGAGGGAAACATCTGTCTGAAAACAAAGCTCAGGAGGTAGGAAGGGGCAGAAGAGAAGGGTGAAGGGAAACAGGGCAGCCACCCTGAAGTGGGAAGAGTACTGTTACATTGAGGGGATTGCAACTTATGTCACAAAGCAAAACGTGTATAAATGTTTCAATGGGGAACTAATTTGCTCTGTAAAATTTCACCCAAACCACAATAAAATGTTTAAAAAAATTTTTTTCTTTCTTTTTGGCTATCTTCCCATAGCAGCTCATTAGTTATTTCCAATTATGTTATGTTTGACTGTTGGCCATTACATTTTTTCATGAAATAATCATCTGTAACTATTCTCTGATATTTTCCCATTCTTCTCTGGGCCACCCTCCTCAGCACCTCTCCTCTGCTCATTCCTCCTTGGTTTTACACCATTTTTAAGTACTCTTAGCACCTGATTACTCTCAGTTTTATTTCTCCAGCCCAGGCCACCTGTGTTAGTTTCTAGACCTGTGACTCCAAGTGCATGTCCCATGGATACCCTGGTGCAACTGTCCAACCAGAGGGACTCTTAACTCTTACTTCCTACAGCCCCTCCCAAGCCTAATATCAGGATATGAAACGTGATACCACGTAATTCTCTGTCCTGCAGTAACAGATGACACACCCTCATGGAAATACAAAATTGCAACCCTGGAACATCAGGAAATTGTTCTTTTTTTGTTTTGTTCAAGATCCTTACTGATGTGCCAAGGGATACTATTTTCAGGCTGGGGAAAAAAAAAATATATATATATATATATATATTTGTTGTTGTTGTTGTTATATGCCGTTGAGTTGGCCCCGACTCATAGTGACCCCTCCTTGGGTTTCTGAGGCGGTATCACTACGGAAGTAGGATTGCCCAACCTTCCTTCCGAGGAGTGGCTGGTGGGTTTGAACCGCCAGCCGTCTGGTTAGTAGTCAAGTGCCTTAGGCACTATGCTACCAGAGCTCCTATATATAATATATATGTGTGTGTGTGTGTGTGTGTATTTGTTGTTGTTGTTGCTGTTATGTGCCGTCGAGTCATACCTGACTCATAGCGACCCCTCCTTGGGTTTCCGAGGCAGTATCACTACAGAAGTAGGATTGCCTAACCTTCCTTCCGAGGAGTGGCTGGTGGGTTTGAACCGCCAGCCGTCTGGTTAGCAGGCAAGTGTCTTAGCCACTACGCTACCAGAGCTCCTGTGTGTGTATATACATATATATAAACATCCCTAATACCAGTTTAGCAGAGAGGAAACAGCATCTTGGTTTAAGAGAAAACGTGAAAGGGATGAGGCAAAGCTAGGGTGAGAACTCCTGATTCTTGCATTCTTTCTGCTGGTTTATATGTTCGCCAGTTCCCAAGGAACCAATTTTAATCTAGACAAGACGCTTTGTGTGGTGCTCTTCAATTAGCAGATACCATCTCTGGTGGCTCTACCCTATAAGGGAATGGGCCAGGGATTAGCACATTGGTTATTCTTAGTCACTTCATATGTCAGTCCAAGTACTGGTTTGTTATAATAAAAGGATTAAGAGTGTTAAGAGTTACTACTAGTACTCAAAGTCCAACTCTGATTAGTTAGAATTCAAAAAGGCCCTTCTCAATTACTAGAGAAAAGTACTTTCAAAATTGGCTTTAGTTATCTTTAGTCACCTGAATGGACTTTATAATTAAGATGGTAACATAACCAGCCTTACCTGGATGATAAATATCTTGGGTTTTCCAACCAGGCTCTGACACTTGTCTCCTTTGAACAAACCAGTCAGTGTCTGAATTTCAATTTTGGCATCATACGCATAAATGTGATTGCCTTCACCATGACTCAGGAAAACACACAGAAAGCAATCGGCATCTCTGTGGCTTGAGGCGGACACTGTAAAAGCCACCAGAATTCATACAGAAATAGATGCTTGTTAACAATTACACACAAAAATTCTATTTACTAAAATCAGAATAAAGATATATATAGGTATCATTTGGAGGAGGAAATTTTGTTATTTATATCTGTAATGAAACACAATCAGAACCAAAAAACCAAACTCACTGCCTTTTAATCGGATCCTACTCATAGTGACCCCTTCCTGGGTTTCTGAGGTGATATCTCTATGGAAGTAGATTGCCCAATTTTCCTTCCGAGGAGCAGCTGGTGGGTTTGAACTACCAGCCTTCTGGTTAGCAGTCAAATGCCTTAGGCACTATGTCACCACAAACAGAATAATTATACCATGCTATATTTGCCTTTTAAAAATCCAATCATTAAAGTTCAAATAGCATTTGGCCAAATTTCATTAGCTTTTCTAAACACAGAGTAAACCAGTACCAGTGGCCATTGAATTGTCTCCAACTCAAGATGACCCCAGGTGTGTCAGACTAAAACTGTGCACCACAGGGCTTTTTAATGGCTGATTTTTCAGAAGCAGATTGCCAGGCCTTTCTTCCAAGGTGCCTCTGAGTAGATTTGAACTTTTAATCTTTCAGTTAGCTGAGTGTGTTAACTATTTGCGCCACACAGAGTAATGATATGGAAAGCAAAAAGGGATTGTTGTGGGGTGCTCCCTTCAAGATCTGAGTCACTATGGCAACAAATTAAAAGTTTCTTTGAATTAGTAGAGTTTCTCAGGGCACAGACTGGAAAGACCCAGAAACTAGTACTCAAGTCCCTATGTGTTCCTGTATCACTAAAGAATGCTGCACTTTCACTAGTCTGCAGCACTTAAACTGCACTTAACTGTCCAAAAACAGTTACTAAGACATGAGATGATGTAATCCAAAGCTTATGAGCAAAATGGAAACAACCTGGAAAGCAGCCAGTTAAAATGAAAATGACTTACAGATTAAAGAACTCTGAAAAAGTGTAAATTATGTGAATACCATAACAGTCTACTGGCAAGTGCCTTGAAAAGCCATAGCATGCAATGATTATTAAGAGAAACCTAAATTGTAGTATAATTAGAATACCTACTTGCACAGTAATGTTTTGGAAATTAAAAGAGGTAAGCTATGCAAGTCAACATAACTTTGACCCACTGAAAAATGGTTATGGAGGAAGTCAATGACAAAATAAAATGAGCCTACTGACCACCCAGTATATGTAGTATTTGCATTTTAGGCATTTAATGCTAAATGAAAAGGTCATTTCCGTAATTTCTAGAGTAACAAACTGTACTAGTAGGCTGCATGTGAACTTTGGAGGCATAATACTTTGCAAGGGTCTCTAACTCTGGTGAATAGCAGAAAGAGACACACAACCAAAACTGATAACCCACACTAACCCATGCTAAATTAATGGATAACATGGCTCTTTTGCAACACCCAGTTAATTATTTGTACCTGTCTTTACAAACAGGATGATCATAATATTCATTCCCATCAAAGGAAGATGAACTTAATAGGAAGACTACATACCCTCATGAATTCGGAGCAGTACTTCTTCTGCTTTGAGATCATTAAAGCATTTCACTTCAAATCCTAGATCTGAAAGCCTGGTGATATATCAGATTGAGCATTAACTTATGGCCTCTTTAAAGTTCTCAGATACCCCTAACTTCACTTTTAAGGATTCAAAACACATCTTTATGACATAAATTTACTTTGGGGAAAAGAAATAAAACCCAATATGATAATGATGGTTTGCCTTAATCACTCAGGGTAGGAAAAAGATTTAATCAAAATGATAAGCTGATTTTATTTAGAATATTGTCATCCACTATCCAAATATGTTAGTAACAATGACAGTTAATAGTGTTAGTTACTAAGAGAACAACGAACCCAGGCATGCTCTGAAGGGAAAGCTGCTCGCATGAGGCCCATCCTCAAGTGCTCTTAATCCCTTATCTCAGCGGTGCTGATAAGTTTCGACAGGTCATTCTGTTATCAACTTGAAGTCTCATCTTCTTGATGTAAAGGTAAAACTACCTGCGTTTAAGATTATCTCTGTCTGCCATGGTGCCACGCCTTTCTGGCAGTGTTAAGTGCCAGAAGAATCTCTCATGGTTGAAGATTAAAGCAATTCCTCTCTTCCTGTGGTCCATTTTGTACTCTTCTGCTGGATCAAACGTCTCACTGTTAATGAGAAGTTTAAAGAGCCATCACATCAAGTCATATTAAACAGTGACCTACTCTGAGCCCAAGATCACTTTGTAGAGCACACGGAGGTCTGCTGTTTCCCCCTCCTTTCCAGGCTGGTGTTCCACTGGCGAGCCCCAGGAAAGTCACAAGCCACGCAGGGGTCATACCTTACTTTTACAAAATTTGCTTTACACCACTTTGCTTTTACTAAAGGCCTGCGTTATATCTGTTTTTGCTACGAAAGAAATACAAAAAGGATTTTCGCCTTTATGAAAAAAGTGAAACTAGCTTTTGGCATTTGTTGTGCAGCAAGCCACGCGTGGACCCTAAGCAGTGAGAGTGGCATCACTAAGCTCCCTCCCTGAGGATTCAGACTGTACACACATTTTTCCACTTACATAGGCTGTGTATTTATCTACCATTCCTGCTTTTATTATATGTTAGTGTTATTTTAGGAGCTCTGGTAGCGTAGTGCCTAAGGCACTTGACTGCTAACCAGAAGGCTGGTGGTTCAAACCCACCAGCCACTCCTCGGAAGGAAGATGGGGTAATCTACTTCCGTAGTGATACTGCCTTGGAAACCCAAGGAGGGGTTGCTATGAGTCAGGTCTGACTCGAGGGCACATAACAACAACAGTGTTATTTTAGGTTTCATGTGTTATTTGGTATGAGTTGGTAGGTTATTTTTTGGGTCTGGGAATGCTCAAATGTCTTCCCTCTACAAATAAATGGTAATTGTTCTCTGCTTTATGCCATTTCGGCTTACAGAAGATTTCATAGGAACACTCTACTTTCGGAAAGCGAGGGAAGCCTGTACTGGTGGGAGTAGTCCTGAAACACTTCTGCACCTGTTGGTAAGCAGCTGTTGTCTTCAGCATCCCAGCCCCTCCACATCAGTGCCTTCCCCCTCACCCCCAACTCTAGGGCCCATGCCATAACAATCATTAAATATTCTGATCATCAGTCCAGGTCCTTTGACAACGAGGGGAAGCAACTAACCTTCGTATCTACCAGTCAACCCCCAAAATGCTAAATCTTGGCATTTTTAGTTCCACTTTCAAGCTCCCAGATCCCATTCTCGCTTTGACTTCCACAGGCTGACCACGATCCGCTCCACCCCCTGCTGTTACCACAAAAAGAGAACTGTTTTAGAAAAAGCATCCCCCCCTTTTTACCTTCTATAAAAGGCATCTGTTTCTGTCATGTTTTGCTCCCCACCTATTTAAAAAAAAAAAAAAGTTGAGTTTTATTCATTCTTTACTTTCTGATTTGTAAGAGTGAAAACACTGTAGGTACTCCTATCCCCTCTTCAACTCCTAACTCTAAGACTGCTGTTTTGGTTTAAAAGCTGTTGTATTATGAAGACAGGGTGTAAGGGGAACTGAAGGGGAACTGCTTGCTAATATAACAAAAGAACTATAAATTAACAGCTCAGTTCTTTCAAACACTCAGCTCTTATCTCCAAAGTAACAAAAATTCTTATAAAGAGAAATGGAGAAAATATTACTCAAACTCACTCATTGCAAAATGTGCTTTGATAACCAAGTCCTATAATTACGGAGCTTGAATGAAATATGAAATTGCTTTGTTAGGCAGAAAACTTTTTCCCTCCCAAATATTCTCTAAAATAAAAATGACATACAGGTGAACTGAAACACTGAAACAGAAGTTTGTGGTTAATGCTGGATTTTATGACAACCTGGAAGAGGTGGAAATTTGGGTAGAAGAAGGAAAGGAGCCCGGGCAAAGGCAGATGACTGGGATTTTAGATCTCCTGAATGACACCATGCATTAATAACCCCCATGATGGCTGCCTCTGCTCCCCAGTACAGGTCAGCCCTCATACCCTCTGGACAACCTTTCACTGACCCTCTGTCTAGAGGACTACCTGGGTGTTCTAAACGGTTAAGTGCTGGGCTACTAATTGAACTGCTGGTGGTTCAAACCCACCCAGAGGTGCCTGGGAAGAGAGGCCTGGCCATCTGCTTCTGCTACTGCATGTCTGATACAGCAGTCACTATCCCCTTAAGACTACCAAAAAACTCAAACTCACTGCCATCGAGTCAATTCCGACTCATAGTGACCCCCACTGGGTTTCTGAGGCGGTAAATCTTTGCCGAAGTACATTACCCAGTTTTCCTTCCACCGAGTGGCTGGTGGGTTTGAACAACCAACCTTCTGGTTAGCAGTCAAATGCCTTAGGCACTGTGCCACCAGAGCTCCCCATAAGGGTAGAGTACTTGAAATGCATGTAGTACAACTGAGGAATCTATTTTTTTAACTTAATTTAAATTTAATGACAACATGTGGCCAGCAGTTTCTGTATTGGACAGCATAATGAGTCTAGCATCTTCTATGATGAGGGCCCATTTACTCAGAAATCTGTTTTTAGATGTGATAGACATAACAGCTTAAAGGGGAAATTAAAAGTAATTAAAAAAAAAAAAAAAAACTGAGAAAGATTAACTGTATATAGCAAGATGCACTCCTAAGTTGACGCCTTTGAAGGAAGCTTGATATTAAGAGTGGAGTCCCACCCACCTTGTCCTAGCCCAAAGTGTAATGTTTCAGTCTCTCCCCTTAGGAGTTTGCTACTGACACCTGATTGTTCTACCTTCACTTCTCCCTGACAAAAATACACCCTGGATTGAGGGTGGGAGGTGAATTCGGCTTAAGTCTCTTTTAGCCCATCACTTTTAGCCTAGTATTCTTGGAATTCCTCCATCAGGAATTTCCAATGTTCCCCTGCCCGTTGTTGTTGTTGTGTGCTGTTGAGTTGGACCCAATCCATAGCGACCCCTCCTTAGGTTTCCGAGTCAGTATCGCTCCGGAAGTAGATTGCCCCATTTTCCTTCCGAGGAGTGGCTGGAGAGTTTGAACTGCCAGCCTTCTGGTTAGCAGTCAAGTGCCTTAGGCACTAGGCCACCAGAGCCCTAAATCAGTTTTCCTCAGCCGTGTGCATCAGAATTCCCAGCATGAGTGTTTAATGCTGATTCCTGGATCCCAGCCTAGATTGACTCTGATTCTGGGGCAGAAGGTGATTTTTAACAAGGTGATTTTTACTAACACCAAAGTTGGAGAGCCAAGCGCAAACTCTCCACCATGCCTTCACTGCTCTCCTGAGGTTTTCTTCAGAGGCACACAGCACACCTGAGAAAGGGGATCACTCTGAGCCTTAAGTGATCACAGTCACTCTACCTCCTACTCCACATGCTGCTCTAAACAGACATGACATGCATTTTCATGCCTCCTGTTTTCAGAAAGTCATCCAGGATCTACCACCTTTTCATAACTTTACCTCCTTATCTTTAAACTAATTATGTTGTTGTGTGCCGCTGAGTCGATTCTGACTCATGGCGACCCTATGTGACAGAGCAGAATGGTCTCCTTAGGGTTTCCTAGGCTGTAGGCTTTATGGAAGTAGATCTCCAGGGCTTTTTTTCCTGCATAGCTGCTAATATGTTAAAACTGTTGACCTCTGGGATAGCAACCAAATGTTTAACCTTTGCACCACCAAACAAAACAAAAAAACCCCCACCAAATTCACTGCTATCGAGTTGATTCCAACTCATAGCAACCCCACTGGGTTTCCAAGGCGGTAAACCTTTACAGAAGTAGGTTGCTCCATCTTCCTTCCGCAGAGCGGAAGGTTGAAATGCCAACCTTCTGGTTAGAAGTCAAATGCCTTAGGCACTGTGCTACCAGAGCTCCAGGGCTCTTTAAAACCAATTATACTAAAGAGAAATAGAGTAACTTCAAACTAAACACTTTAAATCTATGTCTGGAAGCCAACTATCCCTGCACCTGCATGGCCTGGAAAGCACCAAGTCTCTTCCTTGGCAGAGAAAGTGGCAGCAGCCCCAGTAAGCTACCCTCCTCAGGCTTGCCACCATCCCAGCTGCTTTGCCTAAAGCGGCTCAAAGTCTACTTGGTGGGAGCTGTGCCAAATGGCTGTTTACCAAACTGACTCAAGTCCCCACAGGTCAAAGAACTGGAGATGTATGCTCTATTGAACTTGAAAGCTCCAGCTTTTCATATACTCAAAGAAGCTTCACAATCCTTCCTATTGTTGTGGATTCCAACTCAGCCATCCTGTAGGACAGAACAGAACTGCCCCATAGGGTTTCCAAGGTAATCTTCACGGGAGCAGATCCTCAGGTCTTTTCTCTCACAGACTGGCTGTTGGGTTCAAACCACCAACCTTCTGTTTATCAGCTGAGTGCTTAACCATCTGCTATAATGCTTCCTAAACCAAACCAAACCAAACCAAATCCACCGGCATCGAGTTGATTGCAACTCATAGCGACCTCCTTCAGA